CAAACGATTTTACTATCAAATACTTTTTTCTTTTTTTTATGTTTTAAAACAGGATCTCTTAAGGCTGGAGAGTTGGCTCAGAGGTTAAGAGCACTGGCTGCTCTTCCAGAGGTCCTGAGTTCAATTCCCAGCAACCACATGGTGGTTCACAGCCATCTGTAATAAGATCTGGTGCCCTCTTCTGGCTTGAAGGGCATGTATGCAGGCAGAACACTGTATACTTAATTAAATCTTAAAATAAAAATAAAAAAAAGCCCAGCGTCTCACTATGTACCCCAGGCTGACCTGGAATTTACTATATTGGCCGGGCTAGCCTCAAACTGCCCTTGTATCTCTAGTGCTGGGATTAACGGCTTTCATCACCATTCCAGGCCAACATTCATTGTTATGTGATGGGTGTACATGTATGTATGCACATTTGTGTGGAGGGAGGGCACATGTGTATGTGTGTGTGTGTAGGTCCAAAGACATCAGATGTCTTCTTCAATAGGTCTCCATTTCATTAAGGTAGGATCCTTGCTGAGCCCAGAGCTCCCTGATTCTGGCTAGTCTAACTAGAGGCTTGCCCCAGGGATTAACCTTTTCTCTGCCTAACCAACTGCTGGGACTACAGGAGGGGAATGGTCACTGCAGCCACTAGGCCTGCCCAGCTTTCTGAGGTGGTGGTGCTGGGACTCGGCCCTCAGGCTAACACTTTACTACCATATCTCCTTAGTCCTGGTTTATTTGAGGGATGGGGTTGAGATAAGGTCTCATCCAAGACTGGTCTCTAACTTCCCATATTCCTGAGGCTAGCCTGGAACTTATCATCTGCCTCTGTCTCCAGAGTGCTGGCATTAAAGGTGTGCACAACACCACGTCTGGCTTCTTTCAATATTCTTACATATGTACCCTACGACAAGTTTGTCTCAGGTAATTTAATGAGTCAACACTTTGCTGTTGGGTATATTTTCACATTTACTCAGCAAACTTTTCTTAGAAAGTAGCAGTTCTAATCCAGATTTTGTTATTCCATTTATTATTTGTAAGCTTGTGGGAGGAACATGTGGGCCATAGCATGCATGGGGAGTCAGAGGATAGCTTGCTGGAGCTGGTTCTCATTTCATACCATTTGGGTTCAGAATGGTATTCTAGCCCCTTGTCCCTAGAAGCAGGGCATCTAACCAGCCCTGTAACCTTGAACTCTGGGTCCTCCTGAGGGCTGGGTTACAGGCATATGCCACTACATCCAATTTATAACACATCTAACTTATAACGAACCTACGGCTTCTCAGTGCTAGGTAAGTACCAACTGAGCTACATCACTAGAATTTTTTTTTTTTTTGGAGGGGGGGACACGGTCTCACTATGTAGCCTTGGCTGTCCTGGAACTCACTCTGTAGACCAGGCTGGCCTCAAACTCACAGATCCACCTGCCTCTGTCTCCTGAGTGCTCAGATTACAGATGTGTGACACCACACCTAGCTGTAGCGAGCTGCATGGAATCACACCTGATGGAGATGTATAATCAACTCCTATGGCTAAAGTCTGACTTATGCCTGATCACGCAATGATCATCAGCTGCTTGCATATGCGTGGGCCTATGGGCAGTGCCCACCTGGCAATCCGGGATTGGCAGCCCATACCTACTTAAGGGCTGGGAGAAGTTTGCCCAGAGACGGAGGGGGGGGAAAGAGAAAGTGAATAAAGTCCTGGAATAAAACTGCAGTGAGAAGAGCTCCAGTGGTCGCGTCATCCTTGCGGGACAAGGGTGGCCATGACACCTAGCGTAAAAAATTTTTAGTTTGGATATATATGCGTTTTGCTTGTATGTATATCCATGTAGCACATGTGTGCCTGATACCAAAGAGACCAGAAGAGGGCGCTGGGTCCCCTGGGAGTGGAGTTACAAATAGCTATGAACTGCCTTGTGGGTGTTGGAAATTGAACCTAGATCCAATTCTAGTACCCTGAACCACTGAGCCATAGCTCCACCCTACACACCTTTCCTCTAGGATTCTTGATGCAGACAAACTGTACAGGATCATAAACATTCACTTTAAGCTCCTCCATTTGGGGATGGGGTAATTTGTGGTGCAGAACTCACAGCAGTGAACTGAAGAGGGGGAGAATATACCTTAGGTAATTTGGAAGGGCATTCCATAAGACAATCTTACAGCTAACAATTTCCAAGTGTAAGTTATAGTTGTGCTTTAGATTACCCTATGTAATTTGTTTTTTGAAAACGAGGAGCAAGCCAGCGTGGCTCCCCTGGACTTTTATGACCACACAACCACTAAAAGAAAAAACTCAGGCCCTTGTTGCCCTCCACTAACCATCATCAAACTTCCTGTCAACATAGGTAAGGGTAAAAAACAGGTCAATCTATATTTACATATTCATTTTCTGATCCTGGGTCTCATTTGGGTCATGCCAGCTATAAACTTACTATGTCACCGAGGCTGGCTTTGAACGATGGTCCTGCCTCCATCTTCTAAGTGGTGGGGTTGCAGGTATACAATGCCACCTTGGCTGAGTTGCCTTTGCATCCATGTTTCCTAGTCCTTTCACTTCTACACCAAGACAAGCCATTCAAGAGAAGCATGCATCTTTGAAGGCTATGATGCAGCTTAGCAGTAGACAACATATAACGGCCATAAGTTCAAAACCCAGTTGTTTCTGTCTCTCACATACACACATACATACACACCCTGTGGTGCTTTATTATTATTGTTTTTGTTGAGACAGGGTTTCTCTGTGGTTTTAGACCTGTGGTGCTTTATATAAGAATGCCCACATCACAGACTCATATAATTGGATGCTTAGTCACCAGGGAGTGGCACTATTTTAAAGGATTAAAAGGACTAGATGTGGCCTTGTTGTAGGAAGTGAGTTATTGGGTGTGGGATGTGAGGTTTCACAAATCCATGGCAAGCTGTGTCTCACTGCCTGGTGATCATGATGTAGCTCTCAACTACTGCTCTAGCACCTGCCTGCAACCATGCTTCCCAAAATGATCATGGACTCAACCTCTGAAACTTTAAGCCCCAATTAAATGCTTTAATTGAGAGTTACCTTGGGCATGGTGTCTCTTCACAGCAATAGAATAAGGCACAAAACCCAAAAACTTCTTTTTTTATACTTAACAAAAAATTTAAAACAACTATATTATTCTTTTTGGTAGCTTTGAGACAGGGTTTCTCCATCTGCTCTGGAACTTACTATGGAGACCAAGTTGGCCTCAAACAAAGATTTTCCTGCCTGTTTCCCAAGTACTGGGATTAAAGGTGTGTGCCATCATTCTCAGTTGGTTGCCCATTATTAGGGAACACGCTCCTTTTCATAGACCCAAGACTTAACAGCACCTGTGTGGTTTCTGTGTGAATCATGTGTCTCCAGGATCCCAGTGTCATGTTCAAAGAAGTGAAGAAGCACATACAAATAGCAAAGTCGCAAGGATTTGTCCATGCTGCCAAACCACAGGTCCCTGATAAGTTCTAGTATGTGCCAGAACAAAGGGTAATTATAGCTAAATAGTGATGTAAACATCAACATGAAGAGAGGTTATGTGTACAGCTCATTGAAGATGAGTTCCCAGGTCGGTCGCTAAATGCTTTCCCAGGATACCAAGCTAACTCTACTGCCTGCCTTACTTGGCAGCAGTTTGGTGCATAGAGCATGTACATCCTGTCATAATCTCAATGTCTTTGCTCCATCATCTTAGCATTGTTCTTAGATGCATTCTTTTAAAAATAACTTACTGAGTGTGTGCAGGCACATGTGGAGGTCAGAAAACAAGGTCTTTCTATGACCCTGGCTGTCCTGGAACTTACTCTGTGTAGACCATGCTAACCTTGAACTCACAGGGATCTGCTTACCTCTGCCTCCTGAGGACAAGAAATTAAAGGCCTACACCACCACACCTGGAAAGCATATACTTAAAACAGCTTCAACTAAAAATGAAATTCCTTCTCTCAAGGGATCAGACTGAGTTTAAAATCAGGAACAATCCCCAGAATAATAAGAGCTAAAACATGAGGCAACTGAGAAGGCTCATCAGACTTAACTAGCTCAGCTTAGTTCAAATCCATGTTTCTTTTCTGCAGGGGCTGGAACAATATCTGCAGTCAGTTAATCTGCACCCCCTGTTGCTAAAAATGCAGATTCAAACACCACAACCTCTTCCAGAAAAAGGTTTTGCAGGGCTAAGAAAGCAGTTCAGTGGTAGAGCCCTGCCTAGGATGCCTGAGGTGTAGGTTCAATTCCCAGCATCACCACGAAACACAGCTTTTAATTCTTGAAATGGAGGTTACCATCTGATCGAACAATCTCACTCCTGGTTATGGTCCTAACAGAAACGAACAGATGGACACTCAAAATCTCAGTACATTGAATTGTGAACCAACTATATGCATATGGATTATTATTTCATAAGACTTGTTTTGCATTTGAGACAGGACCCTGCTTTGAAGTCTACGCAGGCCTGGAACTTACTGTACAGCCCATGTGCTATTATGTCCTAAAAAAGGTTGATCAGATCTATTGAATAAAATATAGCATTTTAGCAAGATCCTTGGGCAATTTACATAATGCAATGTATGAGGAAGGAGCAATCTGAGTGAGCCAGGGTCAACACTGTTCCTCCAGTTACTTACTCTTCACAGGTAAGTCTCTATCTGACTAGGACTGAGTTATTCTTAATGGGCTGGGGCCTGAACCCAGGACTTACCTACAGCAGGGTCTTACTACGTGGCCCAGGGTGGCCTTAAACTCCTTTTTTTCCTGTTTCCCCTCCAGAGGGCAAGAATTATACAGGTAACTCTTTGTTCTGTCACAACTGGTTGAAGCGTATGATCCAATATTTTTAGATTGATTTTACAAATTCTGCTTTTCCTTTAAAATTGTGCAGTTTCAGCGCTGAGTGGACCCTGCAGTGAATTGGTTTGTTTTTTGTGACCCTACTTAAACCCCCCATCCTGAGGCAGGAGCAAGTAACACGAAGAAATGAGGCAGATACCCAATGACTTTCAGAAAGCAGTTTATTAAAGTTAAAATCAGATTTACAGAAGAACAACACAACAGCGACAGGCGCAGTGGCGCTGCAAATAACACAAGGGCACTCACCTACCTGGGCTTCTCTTCTGCAGTCTGCTCTGTTTCTAGAAGAATACTGGGGAAAGTCTCAGCAGTCACAGTCTGTCATGATTTAACAGCTAAAAGAAAACAACCTGCCTCCCCACCCTCCACCCCGTCTGCATTCTAAGCAGAAAGTGCTCCTTCTGTTCCAGATCTTTCAATTCTGTATCTCGGGCAAAAGGAAGGTTAGCATGCAGACTGAATGTCTGAGCACCAAGCTACTGCAGCGTTAACACTATTTTTTCCTGTTTTTTTCTATTTTCCATTTGTGTGTGTGTGTGTGTGTGTGTGTGTGTGTGTGTGTGTGTGTGTGTGTGTGTGTGTGGTTTAGACAGGGTTTCACTGTGCAGCCCTGGCTAGCTTGGACATTGCTATGAAGACCAGATTGGCCTTCAACTTACAGAGAATCACCTGCCTCTGCCTCCTGAGTGCTGAGATTTAAAAAGTGTGCTATTACAACTGGCATTTTTTTTAAACCAAGACAAATTTGACTAAGAATCTGGGCTGTTTTGAGGTTACTCATCGCAGGTACTACATTTATATTATCACATCCAAATATAAAAGACTGCAGGTTCTGCAGTCAACCTGCTGGAGCTCAATATTGGTCCTATGTCAGTTATATAAACTTAGGCAGTCCGTGCACATCTCTGCCTTTTCTGAAATATTATATGTAAAGCTCTTGGAGTAATACCCGAAATATGAAGGATCTAATAAATGTTACACATATAAACTCACATAAATAGGGAGTGTGTATGTGTGTATGTGTGTGTGTGAGAGAGAGAGAGAGAGACTGTCTCAGGCTGGCTTCAAACTCTTGATGCTCATGCCTCAGCCTCTTCAGTGCTGGGATTACAACACACCTTAGACCTTCCATTTATAATGTGTTGCATGCAGTCAAGTCAGCATATTAGTTAGTTATTAGCATGGAATACTAATAAGAAATTTAGGCCTCCCTCAGTTAAATCAGATTTTAATTCCTTAAACTTCTTTATGAATAAGAGTGAGTTCCTTAAGGTCATAAACTCTGTACTAGTTTACCTCCAAGGTCTGCAGGATCCAAACTGCACAGATACATAATCTGGAATCATTTATTTCTAGCCATTTTTTTATTATCCTTTTTTTTTTAAATTTTTGAGACAGTTTCTCTGTTTAACAAACCTGGCTGTCCTGGAACTCTGAGACCCACCTGCCTCTGCCTCCCGATTGCTGGGATTAAAGGCATGTGTTAAAAGCCCAGTTTATTTCTAGTAATTTTTTTGAGCAATTTTGCTACAAAACTAATAAATGAATGTTCACAGAAACCACTAAAAACCCCAGTTTACTTGTATTTGTTCACATCAAAGGCAAATGTAATTCTGGTGGAACCTTTGAACAATTTAAAAATGTATATATCAAGAACACTAAAACAAATGAATATTCATTCCAACAGGGTCTTCCTAAACTTTTTTATATCACTTTTCTATGTATGGATGTTTTGCTTGCATGTATGTCTGCATACCATGTACATGCCTGGTGCTCACCAAAGTTGGACACTGGACCCCTGAAGCTGGAATTATGAATGGCTGTGAGCTGCCATATGGGTACTGGGAATTGAATCCGGATCCTTTGTAAGAAGTGATTTTCACTGCTGCGTCATCACTCCAGCCCCTCTCCTTGAGCTCTTAATCCTCTTGCTTCAGTGCACCACCATGCCTGGCACAAGTAGAATACTTGCAGGCTCAATTACTCTACACTTTGCACAGTCCCATGACATATACCAAATAGAGGCAGGGCTGTGGAGCCCAGGAAGGAGCTTCCTGTCTTTACAGAAGTAGAGATATGGTTCTAATACAGAGGCAGTCTTTCTTCAAAGACAACAACAGTTCACTCACCTTCTTGGAACCTTTCCTAAGAACATCAAACAGAGTCATAAGGCTTAGCTGGAAAATTCCATCAACTCGAGTATGGAAGGCAGGTTTGGGAAGGCTAGACATGAATTCCTACTTCCCTTTGCATTCTTCAGATGTCATTTCCCCCAAACGTCTGCACTGGCTGGCTTCCACTTCAGCATCAGTCCCGAAATCTTGAAGGTCAGACACAGTAAACAGGGAAGGACATAAAATTAAGTCACTGGGGCATAGTTTGAGGTCTCACAACTTCAATCGGGAAGAGTCACACTTTGATGTATGTGGAAATGAATTTTAAGTTAACGCTAAAAGGCCCCCTGGCAAGCTCAAGACCTATATGCAGACATTTTCTTTCTTCTTAATTTTCTAGGTTAAGATACACAGTAATGGTTTTATTATAGCATCTTCAGCCACTGGTACCATTATAATTTATTTCATTCAATCCCTTCCCAAATTCCTCACCCAAGTCCCTTCCCCACCTCCAGCTGGTCCCTTTCTTTGCTTAGTTTAGGCTGGAATTTTCTGTCCCTTTTAAGATGAAATCTCTGCTGCCCAGGCTGCTCTGGAGCCTCCTGTCTGAGGAGTGGTTAATTGATGTTGGTAAACTCCACCACAACTGGCTTCTGCATTCTTTTAGTAAAAGTCAGTGAGACCAGGTACGATATGATTCCCATGAAGACCAAACATAAACTAGTTAAGTCTCTTGATGATTTTGCTAAATGGGTAAAGGAAAAACAATCTGATAAGAGGAAGAGGTCAGGACTAGTAGACTCGTTTAAGTGGTTGATTAGTTTGTCAGATTTGGAATAGGGTTTAAGTACAAACCACTTAAACCAGAAAAGAAGTTAACTTTCTCATTGGTGTAAGCTTCAAGTTTGAAAGGTTTATCTCCATTCAACTAATTTTTCTTCTTTAAAATATTTGAGATAGAGTTCAATGTGTAGCTCAACTCAGGCCAGCTTCATACTGAACCTCTTGTGCCTTAGGCTCCCAGGTGCTGAGGTTACAAGTGTGCATTATACCCAGCTTATTCAGCTGCTGAGGTACAAATAAACATGAAAATAAACTCAGTAAACTGTAGGAAAAATATTTAAAAATGCATTTGAATACTAAAAAATCATAAACTGAAAACCAAAACTGACTTACTGACAATTCAATTCCCCAAGATACTCAGAAATGACAGGACTGGGTCATCACTTATTAGGGAATGGAAATGAGGAGAAATGGATGAAACCCCAAGGCTGTCAAGACTTGCTTTTAGGGAAACACTGTTAAGAGTTTGATTATTCTGACCATGTGACCAGGCAGTCATCCTTGCTGGACGGTCCTGATTCCAAATGGCACATTCCTTCTCAAGGCACATTCCATCAGTGGCTCGGAAGCAATCCTCAGATGAAACCATTTAAAAATGTGCACTTTGCAATGACTTATCTATCTTAGCAGCTAGGAAGGCAAAACAAAATTAGCATATACAGCTACTTGAGAGACCAGAGAAGTATGCCGGTTAATGACCAGAACCAATGAAAACAAAGACTGAAAATGAATCCCATGCCGGGTTTTGGTTTTAGAATCCACCCCCCCCCAAACCTCCAAAATGTCTGTCATTCAACATACGGTCCATTTCCGGGCTGGTATTCCAAAAGAACGTATGATATCATGAAGTGGTATTCACTAAATAGGAAGGAAAGCCAGCCAATTTAAAATAGAAAAGATTAGACTTAATAGGTCATCTAATGCCAGAAAAATTCTTAACTGAAGATCAAACACATCAACCATAGTTGTTAAGTCAGATTCTGACAGCAAAGCTCATGTTGACTACGTTTACTTTTATAAAGAAAAAGAAGGCAGAACTCAGCTTTAAAAAGAAAGTGAGTCACACTTCAGATGGTCTCAGCTCAAAGTTAAATAGGCGTGAGAGAAAAAGCTGCATTTATCACTGAACTCAGTTTTAGTCTGTAGGTTCGACGGAATATTCACATCGAAGACAGAATATGCATATAAGTATTCTTTCAAATAAAAGACACGCTCAGAGCTTATCAGTGTGGCAGGGAACATGTGTTACAATCGGTATCTGGAAAGAAGGCAAAAATAAAGTTAGTTGCAGGGTTGAAAGTTAGGTACAGTAAGTCAAGAAACTAGGCAGTAGTAGACTTCTACATCCTAGCTCATCAATTTTATTTCTTAACAGGTAACAGAAATTTCCAAGGTATTTTTCTTGGATTCAGTAACGCAGGTAGCCCACGCTGGCTTTGAACTTGATATGCAGCAAAGGACCACTGTGAACTTCTGAATCTCCTGCCTCAACCTTCTAAGTACTGGCATTAAAAGCAGGTGCCACTATGTCGGGTCTATGAAACGATCAGGTTCAAACCCAGAGGTTCATGCATGCTAGGCAAGCACTCTACCCACTGAACTACATCCCCATCCTCAAGGTTTAACTTTCAAAGTTAATTACCCTTCAGTGTGGCCCTGGAGTTTACAGGGTCATACCACCTTCACCATCAGGGTTAATCTTCCCTAATACAGTTTCACTTTCTCAAGAAGCTTAGCCTCATACAGAGGAGATCCAATGACAAGCACAATCAATTTGTCTGTACCTTGTTCAAGACAACCATTTTGAGCGCTTTTGTTTTCCTACCTAGTTTATAAACCTAAGAAAAATAGAGGCCCTGGTAAAAAGAAATTTCAAGGATATCAACTATCCTGAGAAGGGAGCCAATAAACTCTCATAAGTGAAATTACTCTAGGCTATTCATATTTGTGTTCCCCAAGAGTGTAATTAAGACCCACATAGATCATGTTCTCATTGGTAGCAGTTATGTTTCTCATTTGGCTACAATAATCTAACCACACTTCAAACATTTGTGTGTGTAGTTCTTTAAAACAATTTGAAATATGAGCAACGCTTTTTTTTTTTAACTTTCTGAGACACGGTATCACTGTATTGCTCTGGCTCCTTTTGAGCTCATAGGGATCCCCTGTCTATTCCTCAGGAGTGTCACGACCAATGTCATGTACCATGTCTTTTTGTTGTTGTTGAGCAACTATTATTTTAACACAATACTCAATGTTCCGAGATAGGTCCAAAAATCTGACTTAAAAACAAAAGATAGATCTAGATATATTTTGAATAAAGCTGTTGGGTCAGCCTCACACTTCCCCTTAATTCATTTGATTCAGATCTAAATTCAGGGTCCAAGTCAAGAACAAAACTAAACTTAAATACTAGTCTTTATTAACACCAAGATAAAATGGATGCTCACATTAAACGTAAAGTCTTCTAACTTGATCAGATATAAACTGTGCCCTAAAAACTTCAATTTCATAAGTCTTAGCACATGAAATGCCACTTTAAATAGTAACTGAGTGTTTATGAAGATCATTTGAGATGATATAAGAATAAGAAGCCAGGCCAGGAAAAAAAGTCCTGAGCATTTCACTTTCCTGTACTTCCTATTTTCCAATGATCTTTTGTGTTTGTGTTGCTGGGAATTGAACCTAGGGCCTCACACATCCTAGGCAAATACTTACCACTGAATACTTCCAGGTCCTTCTCAATGACCAAGCCACTGATCAAACACTATTCTTGAACCTTATCTGCAGCCTAAAGACAGCAAAGGTCTCCTCTGGATATGCTGTCCTTGTTGAAAAGTCCTAGTATCATTAAGTCCTTTCTGCTACCTAGAAACAAAGCACCTGCTGCAAATGTGCCTCCAGGCAGGCTTCCTATTCTTCCACAACTAAGAAATGAAACACTCACTTTGTTAGTGATCTGTACAGAAAGGACATAAGAACACAACTGGCATAATATACGCTCCATCTCCTAATGCAGGCTACACTTCACTCCTTTGAAGTATTCTAGTCAAGAGCTCCACCTTTACCCACCACCCTTCTTGCTGAAAAATGTCTTACCTTCACTTCTTTTAACAGGCATTCTTACCTCGTTTTTAAAGATTTTGCCAAGTTCCTGGAAATTACTCCAGGGTGGAGAAGCTTGAAACTAGAGGTAGGTCTGTAGTCAAAAGGGCTATTAATTCCCACCTAAGTGCCACCCAAAGGTTATCTGGTTACCAACCTCTTCCCTTTCTCCTTGCTTTTGGGCCCCCAGGAAATTGTGATCAAGAACAGACTTGTCCAAGTGGGGTTATTTTCAAAGGCAATTCCATTTTCCTCAGGAGTAGAGAAGGGAGAAGCAAGTGACTGGAGCTGCTGCAGTGTCCTGAGCAAAGGCTAAGACTTCAAAGAAAAAGACCACCGTTGCACACAGGGCCTTCAACTTGATAAACAGGTACTCTATCACTGAATTAAATCTTCAGCCCATGGTTTTTTGAGCCAAGACTTCACCACGGAGTTCTAAGCTAGCCTCAAACTATAGCTTGTCAATATGGTATATTGACATCAAACGAAGCTGTTTTTAGACAGGTTTTACTTATGGAGCTCTGGATGGCCTAGAACCATACAGATCAGGCTGGCCCTAATTTCTGGGAGATCCACTTGCTTATGCCTCCCAAGTACTAAAATTAAAGGCATCAGCTACCAAATTTAAGTATCACCATGAAACCCAAGATAGCCTGGAATCTGTGACTTTACTTTCCTGTGTTTATATTATAGACGTGAACCATGTTTAGCTACACACACACACACATACACCCCACTCTTAAAAAGTACCACTGCAATATAAATGCTGTTTCTAAAAGAACAGCTATGTATCTAACATCCCAGGACTACAGAGGATGAAGCAGAAGATATAAATTCAAGCTTAGGTTATGCATGTCTTTTTTGTACCCCCTCTTCTGAGAAAGAATCTTATAAATTACATATAGGCTAGCCTCAAACTCTATGTGTTTGAGAAAAACCCTAAACTTCTGATCCTTCTATCTCAGCCTCCTCAGTATTATATATGTGCACTACCATGTCCAATGTATAAGGTACTATATTCTGAACCAAGAGTTCATGCATGGTAGGCAAACACATTACCAGCCAAGTACCTTTAGCCCTAAGGTCCTGTGGGGGGAAGATGACTTTTCAAAGACTGGATGTATCCTGTATTAATGTCATATTTCACACCATGTATATGAAGTCCTCCTCTAGCAGCCATGAAATCTACCCCAACCCAAAGCAACCTTGTGGGCCCAGGTTACATTTGTAAACGTAGCACCACCAAAGAGGCATAGGAAGGATGATGCATGGACCCATATATAGTAAGGCCTATTCCAAGAGCTGGCAATATAATACATATACAGCGTTTGCCTAGTATGTACAACCTTGGGTTCAACTGCCAACACACACACACGAGTCTGATGAACGTTTTAAACATAGAAAAACTTAAAAGTAAACTGAAAGGTGGCTGTATGGCAAATATTAAGGGTTCAGCTCTTGCCTAGCTAGGTAACTAGAGCTAAGACTCCAGCCCCTTCTAAATCATTTTCTAATTTACTCAGTTTTTCACGAGATAGAATAGCAAAGAAAGTCATTACTTTTTTCACTTACCATTTTTTATTCTTGTTTTATAATTTTTCCAAGACAGTTTCTCTGTGTCTGTCCTGGAACTTGCACTGTGGACCAAGCTGGCCTTTCTTTTTTCTTCCTGAAACAGGGTCTCTCTGCATAGCCCTGGCTATCCTGGAACTCGTTCTGTAGACCAGGTTGGCCTCTAACCTGGGATTAAAGGTGTGTGCCACCACCGCCTGGCCAGGGATGAATTTTTAGCTTATTATGTAATTCTATTTTGTTACTGGTTTGTTTTCCTTGAGTTAGTAGTTCACTGCTTATCCCAGGTTGGGTGGCCTTGAATTTGTGTTAACCTTCTGTCTCTGCCTCCCTAGAGCTGGGATCAGAAGCACACACAAGCAAGTCTGGCTTTATTTTATACATTCACACATAAACAAGTCCTTTAGCAACCTTTTACATCCTTTAAAACTGCAGAAAGACTGAACTTGAATATGATGGTACAATTTAATGAACTTTATAAGACTAAATAAGAACTCAGGAATAAAAATAAGTATTTTCAAACGTTTAAATCACTTAGAAAAGAGCTTTCCAGACTGCAGAGATGGTTCAGCAATAAAAGGCACTGACTGCTCTTCAAGGACCAGAGCTTGATTCCCTGCACCCTCATGTTGGCTCCCAAAAATCCTCCTATCCCGGAGGACCCAAGGGTACTAGGAACTCATGTGGTACACAGACACAGAGGCCTATTATAGACAGACAGACAGAGAAAGAAAGAAAGAAAGAAAGAAAGAAAGAAAGAAAGAAAGAAAGAAAGAAAGAAAGCTTTCTTTTCCAAATCAATTATAAGCTTGCCACTTGCCCAGGAAAAAAGAGCTTCTTTTCCCTTGTTTTTCTTGGGTTTGTTAATCAAACCCTAGCCTTGTGTACATTAGATAAACTCTACTGATGAGTGACATTTCCAGCCCCAAACTGTTTTCTTACAGACCAAAATCTAATGATACTTTGAACTAATTTTTCAAGACAAGGTTTCTCGGTGTATCCATGGCTGTCTTGACATTGCTCTGTAGATCAGGCTAGTCTTGAACTCACAGAGATCCACCTGCCTCTGCCTCCTGAGTGTCCGAATTAAAGGCATGAGCCACCATGTCCAGCTAAAGTAAATGATAGAACTACTTTACCTGTTCTTCATCTTTCTTTGGTGCTAAGATAGGCTCTAAGGATTGTATATGATATCAAGCACGTATTCTACCACTTAATCACACCCCTAGCCTACTTCACTTTAAATTTGAATTAGGGTTGCTTTAGTATGCATACAATATAAAGTATATATAAAATTTATTATTTACTTCTTGTTTACTTCTAATCTAGTAACTTAAAGCTGTGCAATGGTATAGAGTGGCTTGTGCCTGTGACCTCAGGGCTTCAGAACTGGAGGCAGAATGATCAGTGTTCAAAGCCAGTCTATGCTACGGGGCTAGTCCAAATCCAGCCTAGGCTATACCCATATCAAAATAAAAGTACAGGTGTACTTAGGAGGCAAGATGCACATTTCAGTTTTGCCACTTCAAACATTTTTTCTTTTTGTTTTTTCGAGACAGGGTTTCTCTGTGGTTTTGGAGCCTGTCTTGAAACTAGCTCTTGTAGACCAGGCTGGTCTCGAACTCACCTGTCTCTGCCTCCCGAGTGCTGGGATTAAAGGCGTGCGCCATCACCGCCTGGCCGCTTCAAACATTTAGAAGGCTGGTGGCCACTAGCTAAAAATACTTTACTTACCTTCCATCTCTGAGTTGCTTATATACAAAACCTACCTTCCCGTCCTGTAAAACATCCACTTAGCAGAGGGTGGTACATAGAACTCATAGTAGTTATCAACCTATCACTAAAAATACTTGCCATGAAAAGGAAACAGGGTATTTGTTTCCCCTTTAGTCAGCTTTATTCTGCTCTGCCTCTTTTAGGGTCAAAGACAGATCTCAACAACAACCAACCTGCACTCATCTTCCTGTTAACCAGTCAACATCCCTGTTCTAAGTCTTGACCACCTTCAGTAACTCCTGAGCCTGGCTCCTGACCCCACACCTAAACAACATGCAGTGACTCTGCCTTGGTGGTCTTATTTTCTAACAACCCCTAAAACTATTAAAATTGTCTCATCTATTTCCTTATCCCCTCCTTGGCATTCCAAGCACTACTGAAGTCTTTTACCACAGTGTTTTGTGTTGCTAGATGGCAAACCAAAGCCTGCACAACCAAGTTCTAAAACTTGTCCATAGTCTTTAAAAAACAAACAAACGAATGAATGAATGAATAAAATAACTAAGGATCAACACTCAGGATCAGGCTGATATTTGGGATTTTGAAGCCAGAATAGTATATACACAATGAGCTCAGGCCAGCCAGGGCTACAAAATAAGACTTTAAATAATAGTAAGCTGGGAGTGGTAGCACACACTTATGGTCCTAGCAGAGGCAGGCTAGTCTCTAAGATCAAGGCCAGCCTGGTCTACAAACTACAGGACAGCCAGAGCTACAGAGAAACTCTGCCTCAAAAAACAAATACAAAAATAACACCCATCAATGACTTGTTGGTAGTTCCTCTACTAAGGCCTTATGTTAAGTCCCTGAAATGCGAGACGATGACCCTGGCATCACCTAGGAGAAGATGAAACAGAAGATTCTTGCCTCACCTCAGAGCTAATAAATCACCTCAACAAAACCCCATCAATAAGGAGGTCAAGATAGAAAAATCAACCAGAAGTCCATCATTAAAGAGTGAGAAATGGAGTCTGAGAAAGAGAAAATTGGAAAACTCCTAAGAGGCTTCCATACACATCAGTTTGAGGAGTGATGGACTGGACATGAACAACTCCAGTTCATTACCCCCACTGTTCCTTCTAAGAGCTTTAAGAAGCAGTCTTTATATATTGCTCAAGCTGGCTTCAAAATGTTAATCCTCCTGCCCAATTTCTAGTGTAGCTGGGATGACACAGTCATCATTTTGATATATACAACAAATGGGCTCATTCAGCACTTTTTCCATTTAGAAAAACCAAACAAATAATTTCAATACATGAACACAACCACATTAACAACATCAAATTCAGCAGCAAAATTTACTATTCTTTGTGTCTGAAGGGTGCAGTCTCCCTCTATAGCCTCAGACTTTGATCCTCCTGGCGTAGCTTCCAGAACACTGCACCAACAGGACTTTGCTGCCAACCAGGAGGCACACCAATGCATTTTGTTTTGTTTTTGTTTTTTTTATTACAGGGTTTCTCTATAGGACTACTATAGGGTAGTCCTATCTGTCCTAGAGCACACTCTAGACCTACAAGCTGACCTTGAACTCACAGAGATCTGTCTCCACCTTTGAGTGCTAGGATTAAAGGTGTGTGCCAATACTGCCTGGCTCAAAATCGATTTGCTGGGAGGGGATTTAAGTTCTTCTGATCAAACCAACTGAGGTATTTTAACAAAAGCTAAATAAATAAGCCCCATTATTACAGGTTCAATGACAGGACTTATTAGGATAACGTTTTGAGCAATGAAAAACAAACTTCCTTTTAAAGCCCAATTTAAAAAGAAAATAACTTATTTATTTTATATGTATTGGTATGAAGGTATCAGATCTCTTGGAACTGGAGTTACAGACAGTTGTGAGCTGCAATGTGGGTACTGGGAATTGAACCTGGGTCCTCTGAAAGAACAGCCAGTACTCTTGACCACTGAGCCATTTCTCCAGCTCCTAAAGCCCAAAATTTTAAACAGAAAATAAAAAGTTCTTGAATCATATTTTGTTTAATCTATTAACAACTAAAGAACTGAAATTTCCAGACTTACAGGATTCTTGGCATACCATAAAACTAATCTCCATGACAGAGACAAAGCCCTCTGGGGAATATTGTATACATAAAAAATATTAAAAAACAGGGTTTCTTGTGAGAAATATTTATACATAGTCCTAATTTTTCTGAAATTTCTAAACAGAAAAGCAGTATTTTGATAGATATAGGTACAAGATATTCTTCTAAATCAATAATACAACTGCACAGGAAAATACTTTTACAAATGAACTAAATGAAGTCAGACATGACCTACAGACAGCCCAGAGTAAATGTGGCCCACATCTGATCTCAGAGTTAAGCAGGATAGGGCCTGGCACCACACCTACCTGGCCGCTGCCCTCCCTATGAAAACATCTGCAAGAGCTTCGGTTATGTCTGTTTTTCTAACAGTCCTTCCTGGCTGGCTCACTGAGTGATCTTTTGACTTGGGAACTAACAGAAAAAGAACAAAATGGTAAACTGAAAACCAGTGATTGCAGGGAAGGCCCTATAGTTCTCATCTTATAACTACACTTATCACCTATCTTCACTCTAGAGATATCTTTTTTATATTAATGGCACAGTACAAAGAAGAATGACCGTATGACTTCAAGTAAATCTCCATTGTGAACTGCAGAACTTCCACCTTTACCATTGGTGAGGATGAGTATATCCTCAAGGAAAATAACAGAAGAGAACTGGCCATATCAAGGTAACCTGCAAGAGAATGGGAGCTGTATGAAAACAGAAACTAAACTTACTTGAAGACACAGAGAACTGTTCACATGGAACTTCCTGCTCACTGGCAGCATTCTCAACTACACACCCAACCTGACAACACAGCTGTCAAATACCCCCTCTTGCCACCTCTCTTTGTGATACATCTTATTACAGGCTCAAGGCCTAAAAATCATACTGAAAACACAATATAGATGTTTTGAATTGATCTTAAGATCAATTCTAATGTGGTTGTTAAATTTCCTCAGAAAAACTCTGGTGGCAGACTGTAATGAACATTCCTGCCTGACATACTCAGTCCAGGTCTCATCCGAGGTACTCTAAGTACCCTCCAGGAAGAGCTGTACTCAAGAACTCAGTGTACTCAGTACAAGTAACTACATTGCTACTCATTGACTAGCTTTAGTAAAACAGGTTAGTACTGGATTTGGGAAGAATGCCTGTTTCCTATAAAAACCTGAATTTAACAGCTAATGAATCTGCTTTGCACAGCTGAATCCATGACACCCCAACCCAAATCACCAACACAACATTTTGAACATGTTAAATTTTATTAAAAATATTAACATTGTACAAATATTCCAATACAGTTATGGTACATGAACACTGTACCAAAAGCAGGTTTTTCTTAAAATGATTAAATGGAAAATGTCTTGCAAATTTCCCAATTTGGACATAGCTCATGTTACTGTATGCACACAAGGAATCCTAGTGTCTGTAGGCATTTTCAGTTCAATTCTAAAAATAGCCAAGAATGTAACTCTAAACAGTGTAGCAATTCTTTAAAGTACAATTCTATATTCTTTAGCAGGCCAGAGAAATTTCTCTGGCTGTTTCTTTTGGCCTTTACCTGTGAGAAATCAAAATAGACAATGTTCTAGGATTCTGAAACAGCTGCTAAGTGAAATGGAAGCCCTTATTTGAGCAATTTAAGTGTTCTTCCAATGCCTCATTCTCTTTCTGGTCCCATTAAGTGTATTTTGTTATAAATGCATAAGGTTAATAAATTTGCTCTCTTTATTTCTCTTAACTTACACAAACTCATCAAACTGAGTGTTCCTAATACCAACAATGTTCACGAACAAGAACCATGCTTTTTTAGTGCAAGCATTCAAGTTCTACACCTGATTGTTTTCTAGCACTCAAACAACATGCATAATATGTACACAAAGAAACAAAACTTGAACCCAACCTTGAAATTGCTAGTTATTCTGTATGACTTCATTTGTGATACTCAGCTAGCCAATCTACAGTAAACTGAGAGCTAAGAATTACACTTACAACACTGACTAGCACATGTGTAACACCTACCAGATTCTGTCTGTACTGATACTGCCAACAGAAGGTTAAGATCCACAAGAATAACGAGACAGTTCTTCTGACTTAAATACCAATAATTATATTTAATTTGTGATAAAAATTTTATTGAAATTATTTTTGTCTAGTTATTAAATCAATTTCCCTCAATTTATATGTAATCATCATGAAATTCCCTGAGTATAAGCTGGGATAAGTTATTGTTGCTGCCAAAGGATATTTTTTGTGCTACTAGGTATTGACCTAGATTCTTAGGAATTCTAGGCAAGCGCTCCACCACTGATCCCGATTCTCATTGCGTTACCTAGAATGAACTGGAGCTCACAATCTTCCTCTACAGAATCCCCCAGTGCTGGGATTAAGGATAGCACCACCACATACAGTACAGAATTTTACTTTAGCAATCATCTAGTATTTTGAATATTAGTTCTAGTAGTATTTACAAATCTTGTCAGTTGACAGGCTTATAGCGTTTTTGTTTTATTTAGAACAGCTAGCTGCTGAGGACCGAACTTAATGCCTCAAACATATTAAGTATGAGCTCTCACTGAGATACATCAGCCACTCTACTTTTATGTTTCCGTTCACATTCAAGGTCTTAAGACTTCAGCCATATAAATTTCCTATGGATCCCAAATTACCATTATCAATGTATCTTTAAGCCAAGACCTTTTTGTATTAAATTGATAAAACTTTAAAAAGTTTAATAAAAATACACAGTATACAGTTTAAACCCTCTAGTCTAGGCAATAGCTTCTCATTTTCAATAAAAATTAGTGCGCAATAAATCTCCCTACATGCTAATATGCTAACTTACACAATAAAAATATAATAGACAACAGAGACTAAAATCACAGTAAAATAAAATGTGATTGCTTCAACAGATGTTCTAGATTGTAAAGTATCTATTTTCTAAGTTATAACGGGGAATATTTCATTAATTAACATCTGTAGGTCTTTCCAGCCGATCTACTAATCTAAGAATGAGTCAAGTTCTTATTATATGTTCCTATTGAGAATACAAATACTATTTAAAATCTTTATTTTTCTATAAGGCCAACATAATTGCCTACTTATAAGATATGGGCAGCATTTTCCCACAATTCCCCACTAATGATTTAAAAAAAAGGGAAAGAAAAGAAATAGGAAAAAAAAAGTTCTTACCAACAATTCCACTGGTTATGGTCCCCAGCGAACCCCACCTAGCAAGTCGACATCATGACATGTCAGGGCAGGGCAGCCTCAACCTCGCTTCCCTGATAGTCAGGTGATAAAAGGAAGGAGTTAAAACAGGAAAAGAACACTTGCAGATTTCTGGACAACATCTGAAAATGATAAAAAAGCAAAACCAAAACAAAGCCAGAGCTTCTGGTAACCTCAAAATTACAACAACAGTAACATATATATATATATATATATATATACATATAAACATGATTTTTTAAAAAGAAAAAAATCTCCAGAAAGAGTACCAATAGCTACTTCAAATTAAATATTAATATGAAATTACTAACCAATACTAATTTTTAAAAAACTTGATGTTTGCATTTCAAAAGTTAAGACCTGAGCAACCAACTTCTAATGCAAAAGTAAACATGTTTGGTTCGTGTATCTGTTATTTTGTACTCTCCAGCAGTCACCTGAGCACTGGCGTACTCAGAACTCTACCCTAAGTTAACAGAAGCTCCCATTTTAGAGAAACAGAAACACATTCACAGGTCCAGTGCAGTCTTTCTATAAGGCTTTCTCTTCATTGCTCACTTAGGAAATTCCAAATCAGAGAGCAGCGCAAACAGCAAGTACAGCCAACTGTCCTGAGAACAGCTCAGTACAGGTAGATTGTCTTTGAAAGTAGACTTCGAAAGGCAAACTTGTAATAAATTTTTAAGTCTTTAGAACAAGGAATAGCCTTATAGCAAGTATTTACTGGAAGGGTTTGGTTTTACATACACAATTAATAAAACATAGGTATGATTATATTCAATGGGCAGGAGGCAAATGATGTAATGAGTTTCAAGAATAATTTTATAAGGCTTTATGATAGGAGTGGAATTTTATGTCCCTTCTCTCCTATAATTTAAAATACATAATTTATTTTGATGCATGCTAACCTTTGTATGACGGTTCATATCGTAAGAAAAATGATCTCTAACTAGGAGAAAGCATTGGGCTTTCTTTTGCAGAATAATCTCTGCAACTAAGAAAAATAAAACACAAATCTGCTATTTTTTTTAAAAAAGAACTTTAAAACCATAATTAATTTTCCTTATTTTTTTGATCAGGTAAATCTGAATTTAATTAGAAATCTGGCAACTTATTAGAACTTTTTGCTTTTAATTAGAACGGCTTCATATAAATATACACATTTAAACAACTGCTATAAATGAGTGATCAAATAAAAATTAGCATTCCATTATGGGGAAGGAATATACTTGTTAATGTCAGGAGGGTACCTACAAAGAGGCCTACCTCAATATAGGTATTACTTCCTAACACTTAGTCTGACAGGCTCATAAATAATGCTTCATTAACTAGATTGGGGAGAAAAAAAATATATGGAAAAGTAGACAAATAGGAGGTCAAATCCCTCAGAATTCATAATCTGTGACTATTTACTTATAAACAAACAAAATTCCCTACTGCAAATCTACAAAGTTCCTTGATTGACATTTGTCCGATGCCCATGACAAGGTAAGCACTGGTTTTTGGTGAATGCCAAGGCATAACTATGACTACACTATGACATCAAATAGGAAAAGCTCTAAGACAAATTTTTTTAAATGGGGTCATTGATTTTTAAGAAGTAAAAACTTTTAAAGCAAAGATTAAAGAAAATCTCTGTAGATATATTTTTAATTAGTGAAAGGGACAGAAAATAAAGTGCCCATTTAAAATTCGAAATAGAATATATAGTTAAAGGGTTTTGAAATGGAACTTGAGCTTCACTGGATTTACTAAACTTTGTATTTTAGGGTTATTGACAGAAGCACAATGAACTGCTTTTTCAGAATCACTTTCCTAATTGTATGACTAATATCTAATTGAATATTTTTAAAATCAATTAATTGTGTGTGAAGCTGTGTGTCACACTCACAGAGTCAGGTCTGACAGCACTTGCTGGGCCACCTTTCTAGCCTGTAACATGTATTTAAAAAAATACTAGCAATGAAATTTTTACTTGTACATTTTTTTCTTTCCAAGAAAAGGTGATTTAAGTCTAATTTACACTCGAGGTTTTGAATTATATTTTCAAAGTTTAAAGGCAGCATCTAAAGAATATCTGCTGTCTTTATGTATATACAAGGGCATAAGCAAAATTAAAAACTGGACTGTAAACATTACCAAGTAACACCCATGTTAACTTATAACAGGCCACATGATTCCTTTATCAATTTCTACAAAATAAGACTATTTAAAGCCTGTTAAATTATTGTCCTATATAAATAAACTTTGAAAAAAATGTGGTATTTGGCTCTCATCAGCAATTGTAAACTTTTAAAATTCAAAATGAAGTCACGAAACTGAAAATATGGTTGACTGTGCCGACAAGGAATTAAATGGCATGTGATTCTGATACCTAAAACTGTGACCACAAAAGACACCAAACAGGAACAAAGCATAAAATGAGGGAATCCATTTTAATTCCCCAGTGGTTTATAATTTAAAACATTTTAGGGGGATTAGATTCAGCTCAGTGGTTGCACATGTGCAAAACTCTGGGTTCAAGTCCCAGCACCAAAAGGAAAAAAACTTCAAATAGAAAATTTAATTATTCTGTTCTTATCATTTAGCAAAAAGTCATTAGAATAAATTAATTTCTAAAAGAAACAAGGACATAGATAATGCTATTATTTGGTCAGCAAAAACTTAGCCAGTAGACATAATAAAAATTTAAAAATAAAGAGAATTTAGCAGAAAGCCAAAGACACAACTATAATGATATTTAAAAGCCTCTTCTAAGGCATGACTGCTTCCCAAAGCAAGTGTACTCAGCGAAAGAAATCGTGTAAGTAACTAAAGTAGGGGTGCTGATCATAAACACTAAAACTGAAGTTTAATCCATGGTACAAGTGACGCCACAATACTAAGTTTTCTCTGTATTTGTATCTACTTATTCAGCCAATAAGATCTTCAGTCACAAAATATTCTTGATTGGATATATTGTGGGCCAAATAAATTGTAGTCTGCTTCTCCAGTTCCATTTTGCTTTAATGAAAATTATCCAATACCTGTTCAAAAACCTTTGAGTCTGTTTTGTTTTAAGGATAAAATTTCAAAACTAGAAGAGATTAAGAGAGAACACCAATCAATGAAATGCTATTTGGAATATGTGAATTTAGAATAATCCTCAAATCTGATATCCACAATACATGATGGAATAAACAAGAAATTTTTCATGAATTTGATCACTCACATAGGCAGTTCTACTTTGAAAACAGTATTCCTTCAAGGATTACGAATAAAATAATGTTTTAGGACACAATTGAATTTGAAATAGGTAATGTTTTGAATAGATTTTTGAGTTTTATTGAAATCTTACATGAACAAGAAATTGGAAATACAATCACATCAAAGAACAAATTGTCACGGCTTTGACGTTTAAGCCAAACAAATTTTGTAGGGCAGATTTCAAAAAGATGTGAAGTTATAACAATTTAAAAACACAGTTAACCTGCTTCTAGGAATGCAAAACATACAGTCATAGGTTATTTTCAATACAAGGAAACTTAAATCTGTTTGCTTTAATTTCTTAAAACTACTAAGACAAAGCACTAGCTTGTACTTTTATTTACAGCATACTTCATACTCCTATGTAATCTATTCCAAATCCAAAAAAACGGAACTGTCCAAACCAAAGGTTCTGCAAAATCATGATTTAACAGTTTGTTCTGAAGCTAAAATGAAGCCTGGAACGATAAAAGCATTGTGACCCCAGAATAAGGGAACTCTGCAAGCCCAATAATGTCCAAGAGCATTTAGAAAAGAAGAAAAATAAAAAGACTTGAGTATATACACAATAGTGATTTCTTCAGCTGAATACAAATGGCAGCAAACTGCTACTTAAAGATGAAACAGTTAAGCCAATTTTGTTTTGAAGAATGTAGATCTAGAGCCAATCGTATCTTGCCAGTATCGTTTTCAAGCCCTCACTTGTCTATTTCCACTGTTGCCCATAAGTATCCTGATAAAATTCTTGGTTGTCATTATTGTAACCATAGTTACCGGAATAGTCACCACCTTGCTGAAGCGGCTGCTGAGCGATGGGTTGGGAACCCCAGTTCTGTTGGTTGTTGGTCTGACGACGTTTGGAATCAGGCTGGTTGTACCCATCTGCCTTTCTCTTGCCTCCTACATTGCCCCCTCGATTGCCCCGAGCTCCACGAGAGCCACGGCCTCTCTGCTGTTGTGCAGGACCCCCTCTGCCACCCCTTGAGCCTCTTGGTGGTCCCAAAGGTGCCCCCCTCTGAGAATAGCCAGCTCTACCTCTTGGAGGTGGTGCTCCCCGCCCCCTTGGTGGTGGTGGAGCACCTCGCCCTCCCCTTCCTCCTCCTCTTCCTCTTACTGCATAGCCATCATCATAGCCGTAGTAGGGATCTTCATAGCCTCCACGATAGTCGTGATAATCATAACCATAGTAATCATCATAGTAGTCTTCATAGCCATAATAATCTGGAGGGTAGCCATATCCACCTCTCCCTCCACCACGACCTCGACCTCTCATTGGAGGTGGCATTCGGGGAGGAGGGTGATAATAATAATCTTCATACCTAGCAATGGAGGGAAGGGAGAAAAGGAACAACAAGTTAGTTTACTTCAACGTTCATACTGCCTTTATTATCTGAGCTTGTTACCACCATATTCCATGTTCAAATAGTAAAATATAAACTCACGCAGTGCTTCTGGAGGCCTGTCTAGCAGCTTGGCGCTCTTTCCTTTTCTTGTCTGGTGGCTTAGCTAAGACAATTTCAATTTCTTCCCCTTCTATTTCTTTTCCATTCATTTCATCCATAGCCTAAATTACAAAAGTAAGTTTATTGTATAAGAAACAGTATTTTAAAATGTAATATAAATAGGGAACTTGAGAGATGGCTCCAGCGGGTAAGGTTTGAGAACTCTGGGCTAAATTTTAAGCACCAATATGGAATCTGTATCACCAGTTGCAAACGATGTGGCACCCCTTTCTAGTTTCCGTGGATGCTATGCATGTATGTCATGCAGAGACATACATGCAAGCAAAATACCTATACACTAAAAATGTTTTTAAATCTTCAAAAGGCATAAACTTATCACTGCCTCTACAAAACATTTTACTTAGTAAACATTTAACTTGCAAGAGCAGTCTAGCCAAAAATATCTCTCTTTCATCTTATGCTTTACACATAAATTATTATTGAGAACAAAAAGCAATATTCTAATATTATATTTTAGGAGGTGAAAGAATCTGGAAAGATGGCTCAGCAGTAAAGAGTACTTGCTGCTCTTGCAGAGGACCCAGGTTTGATTGCCAGCACCTACATGGCAGCTCACAACCATCCCTAACTCCAGTTTCAGAGGATTTGATGCTCTCTTCTGAACTCTGAGGGCACCAGGTACACATGTAGAACATATAAACACGTGTAGATGAAACACCCATACACATAAAATAAACAAAAGGTTTTCTTTAAAAAAAAAAGCTGCATTTACCCAAACTCCTTAATTCCAAATAATTCTTTTTTCTTAATTGCTTATTTTTATTTTATTGTCATTGGTGTTTGGCCTGTATGAGGGTGTCAAAATTCCTTTAGCTGGAGTTACAGACAGCTGTGAGCTGTCATGTGGGTGCTAGGAATTGAACCTGAGTCCTCTGAAAGAACAGACAATATTCTTAATAGCTAAGCGCCATCTCTCTAGCCCCCAAATAATTCATTCTTGAAGCAATTCACACCCAGGGAAAATGCACATCAGAAAAAAAAACTAACTCTTCAGATCTCAATAAAGATGTGGTATTTAACATTCAAGTCTTGGACAGACGTTTCATGGATGGGAAATGAAAAGGTTATCTGTGAAATTTAGCAAGACACTAAGTCTAATTTTCCCTCACATCTAACACAGGACTTACTGTGCCTAAACCAAATGTAAGAGCCTTAAGCAACCACCAAGAAAGCAAAAACCATTGCTTGTTCTTCATATCCTTCCCTCTCCTTCTCCAAAACCATTGCTTCTTCTTTTCCTTCCCTCCCTCCCTCCCCTCTCTCTCCACCCCCTCCTCAGGGTTTCTCTGTGCAGTTCCCTTCCCAGAACTCTCTGTAATCAAGGATGGCCTTGAATTTACAGGGATTTAATACTAGCCTACCCAGGCGTGAGTCATCATCTTCATCTGCCATTTCATTATTTAAAGAGTTTCTCTATCTAGCCTGGAACTATGTACACCAGGCTGGCCACGAACTCTAGAGAAATTCACCTTCTTTTGACTATCAAATGCTCAGAAAACCACATTTATTTTTAAAGTGCTGGATAGCAAACCCAGAGCCTTGCACATGCTAGGTAGATTCTACCAATAAGCTACAGGACTGCTTCAATTAAAGCAACTTATTATCTTCCTGCTTCGGGGCTTGTAGCTAAGGGGTAAAACCCATGCCTAAATATGAGTCTGATGTCCACCAGCACAGCACAAACACAAATATTGTTAACGTCTATAAACAAGAGAATGAAACACCTATGTTCTATCTGCCCTGACCACCCAGAATTCTTCCCAGTTCCTATATTAGAAATTTTTTAATTTCACAGGCTTCTCTAACGAATTATCCTACCAGGTCTTATATATATTTTGAGTTCTTGCAAATATTTCCTACTAACTCACCAAATTATTTAGTACCAAATCAAAAGCAATATTCATAAAGTATTATATAGATTTATCAAGCATGTTCTTTACCATAGAAATTTAAGAAGCCAAACATTAGAAAATTGCTGCACACTAGCTATGAATTTTATAATCAATATTTCAACAGACTCCAGCAGAAAGCAAAGTGATTAATGCTATACTATTAATGTTATACTATATATGTTAATAATATATACATTAACAGAGTTAAGGTCTAATGACTGGGGTGTGATGTTTGATCATCAGTTCTATAAAAATAAGAAGAAAGCATACAAGCAAAGCCCTGTAGTAGTCAATGATTCTATAAGTCCTACTTCAAAGCAGCAGCCTAGGAGGAAAATGTTCAAATCAGAAATTAACAGCAAACTATTGTGCTATGTCAGCATATGTTAATCATCTGTCTAGAAAGAGGGAATCTCAACTGAGAAAATTTCTCACCAGATTAGCCTGTGGTTAAATCTGTGAAGTATTTTCCTATGGGATAGTCCAGTTCCCTGTGGAAGGTGCTACTCCTGGCCTGGTGGTCCTAGGTACTATAAGAAAGCAGCAAAGCAGGCTGCCAGGTAGTGGTGGTCCACACCTTTAATCTCAGTACTGGGGGGGGGGGGGGGGGGGGGGAGAAAAAGGAAGATCCCATTAAGTTGAACTCAAAGTCCAGCCTGGTTGACAGAGTGAGCTCCAGGACAACCCGAGGTACAGAGAGACCCTGTCTCAAAAACCAACAAAAAAGAAAAGAAAGAAAAGGAAAGAAGAGAAAAGAGGGAGAGAAAGAAAAAAAAGAAAGAGCAGGCTGAGCAAGCCAATAAGCAGCAATCCTCCACTTGAGTTCCTGTCCCTGGATGATGAACTACAAGTTTAAAATGATATAATCCCTTTCTTCCCCAAGTTGCTTTGGTCATGCTGTTATATCACAGCAACAGAAACCCTAACTAAAACCCTAACTACCAACAGAGAATTTGGAAGAAGAAGAAAAAAAAAAAAACAATGTTTGAGTTACTTAGTATTTTGGACCCATTTGCCTGATCATATTAAAACAAACAATCAAAGAAAAGATTACAGAAGTAGTTTTGATTTTCCTGCTTAAGGAAAGAGACGAGAATAAGAAAATGAAGGTTTCACCTATTAAGAGCTGGGGCTATGGTGTATGCCTTTGATCCCAGCACTTGGGAGTGCAGAGGCAGGTGTGTACCCCTCCATGAGTTCAAAGCTGATTTTGATTTGTTCTACATGGTGAGTTCCAGGTCTGCCGGGGCTATACAGAGAAACCCTATCTCAAAAAACAAAACAAAAATAAAATACAACAGAAATGAAGAGTTAACTGATATTACACAGTATATCATACTTTTTGAGACAGGGTCTCTCTGTGTAGCTCTGGCTGTTCATGGAACTCACTTCTGTAGACCAGGATGACTCAAACTCCCAGATCCAACTACCTGTCTCCCGAGTGTTGGGATTAAAGTGTAACCACCTGGTTACACTATTAGTTATTTTTAAAAGTTCAAAGTTTGGCTAAATTGTGAAGACTATAACTAGGCGTGAGAGGAAAAGCACTTGCCTCATATGAGGCTCTGGGTTCAGACTGCAGTAACAAACACACAACCACTCAACATACAAACATCAACTTTATTTCCACTTTAAAAAGTTACTTTATGGGGCTGTACAGCTGGCTCAGGTTAGGAGAGTATAATGTTCTTCCAGAGGAACCAAGTTTGGTTCCCTCACTGGGTAGTTCACAACCACCTGTAACTCCAGCTCCAGTGAACTCAGCACCCTCTTCTGGACTTCTCTGAGCATCTGTATACTCACAATTGCACATGCCCTCAACACAGATATACCCTTGTAAATTAATTAACTAATAACGTAAAAAAAAAATCTTAGCCAGGCAGTGGTGGAGCATGTCTTTAATCCCAGCACTGGGGAGGCAAGAGGCAGATGGATCTCTGCGAGTTCAAGGACAGCCTGGTCTACAGAGCTAGTTCTAGAACAGTCAGAGTCACATAGAGAAACCTTGTGCCTTTGAAAGAAAAAAAAAACGTAAGTATTTTATGTGTCTACCAATTTTGAAAACAAATAGTTAAAAAAGGAAAAGAAAAAACAAAACCAGCAAAGCTCCTACCTTGACAGCAGCTCCTCTGTCTTCAAAATGAACAAACGCATAATCTTTCAACTTCTTCACTCTCTCCAGTTTCCCAAATTCAGAAAATGACTTTTCTAATATTTCTTCAGTCACCGTAGTAGCCAAGTTTCTCACAAATAAAACTTTCACCTAACAGCAATAAATACACAAAATTGACACTCCTAAATTTTAGTTTAAACCTTAAAATACTACTTCTGTATTCATGCCATAGGCTTTAGGCTTTTAAACTCTAAACTACTAAGTCTAAAAGTACAGTTATAGAAAGTCTGAGAAAAATTAAGAAATGATTTTTACATTAGCTACCACTTTACTAAGGCTTTTTTAAAAAGCAACCAAGTTAGACAAACTGTTGACTCCTGACTTCTCATCAAAACAGTCATCACTGGGCTGGAGAGATGGCTCAGTGGTTAAGAGCATTGCCTGCTCTTCCAAAGGTCCTGAGTTCAATTCCCAGCAACCACACGGTGGCTCACAACCATCTGTAATGAGGTCTGGTGCCCTCTTCTGGCCTGCAGACATACACACAGACAGAATATTGT